AACAAACATTCTTTCTCATCCACTATATTTTAGGGTTAGAAAGACAGATAAAGAAAAAGAATATTGTACCTTACTTACCTAGCTTGAACAGAATGGCTTTTTTATCGAACACATTATTTTCTCTCTGCATCGTAACTGCAAAATATAATGCAAGCTTTGGCCCAGGAAATTATTTCAAAGACCTTGGGTTGGTCATTTACTTTGTAAGCCTCCCTATCTAAATAATATCTCTAGAATAGTTGCCTGAATGGGAGAAGAATGTTTCATCTGCATGAGTTTAATTAACATTAGAACTGTAGTAAATTCAATCAAAACGGGGTCTTTTTGTCCAGGAATAAGATGCTAGAAGATCCTTGCCTTTTATCCCTGCCTTAATTTGTATTAACTGCCTTATGCATGTACGCGCTCAGTGTACCATCACTGTATGGAAGAGCAGAGAGTCTTTTAATCCAGAAATGTTTCTTGGTATGCAGAAACTGTATAACAAGATACCACTCAGTATTCCTGCTTTTAATGTAGGAATGCAGATACACATGCTTTGGTAAGCACATGGACTCCCTGCCTGTTCTTTTCTCTAGCCTAATACTCATAAAAACACTCTAATACTCATAAAAACATTCTGCTATTAGCCCCCTTCTTGTTATGAAGGCTTTCCTATCTTGCTGGCGGCTTCTTTGGGCACAGCTTGAAAATCTCTTGAGGTGAAATGTGCTCTTCCTCACTCTCTACATACCAGCACATGGGGATAGAAAGCACCTACCACTTCCCCTTTCTTTGTGGAATAAAATGTTCTGAATGGAATAAAACTTTTGAGATTCATGTCTGTATTTCATATGCTGTCACCTTCATCTCTGACTATCCACTTGGGGGGAATTCTTGTCATTACTGATCACAGTTAGTCAAAGATGTACATGATTGGAAGTGTGCATAAGCTGTTTCCTGTATGAAGCTTTCTGTGCTGGGTTTGGTGACAGCTCAGCATATGGGAAAAGCTTCTCAACTGAACTGATTATGTAAGATGATGGACATTGTTGTGCCTCTGCAACTCTAACTTGGATTGCAGGGTGAGGTCATGGGGGAAAGAAGAATGGACACAATTGGATAAAGGAAGGACATGTTTTTAATTTCCAGTGTATATGAAGAATACATGTTGTACAGGACTACTGCACGAGCATGAATATAAACAAGATTTTTCTCTTGTGTGCTTGAGGAAAATAAGGTGAACTAGGTGGTCTCTTTTTTATCTGTTTTTATTGACTCTTTTTTATTGCTGACTATTTTAACAAGACATAAAACACAAGAAGAGAGATATAGTACTCTAACACTTGGAGCCAATTTATATTTCTTGTACTGGTCGTTTGAGGAAAAATCCTTTTTCAGTTTTTAACACTTTAACTTTGCTAAGTAATTTGTGAGCCATGCAGCAACTAAATAGGCCAAGAATAGAGTCTGTATATTACTTTTGGTTCTATCACTTCTTACCTGGTTGCAGAACTGTAGCACTGGTCTAGAACAAATTTACTGGAATGATTTTGATTAACGCTAAGATTCAAAATATGGATGAATCACAATGTACTGAACACTGAGTGAGTCTCCTTAAGAGATTGTGGTATCACTTTTAGCCCAATATGAGGTTAAAGGTCATAAGAGAAGTGTCTTTATCTGTGTTTGAAGTTAATGATTTTCTTGCTCATGTTTTTGCAGTAAGTTGAAACTGATATGCAGGTAATCACTGCAACTCTGTCAACCTGAGATGAGTTGCTAAGCCACAATAATTTATTCATGTGCCTATACCTTAACAGCACCTTTATTCTATACTGGCAGTGCTGGAAAGGAGCTCTTGCAGTAGCTGCATATTCCACTCATACTGGACAACAAGGAGAAACAAATGTAAAACATGTCAGATTTCTGTTACTGCTACCATCTTCACCTCATCAGCCACTGCAGAGACACATGAGTTCTGAGTTTGAAAAACTCAGATCTTTGAAGGAGATGACCCTGAAAGGAGGGATGTGCAGGATCACTTTCTGAGATAATTTATTTCTCCAGTGGCTGTGGGTTATCCATAAAGCCAAAGGAAAACACTGCTTTCATTTCACAGAGCTAGTAATGAATTGTTAGTTTTTTCATGCTCTTTGGTATACCAATTTCTTACAACTGCTTCCTGTGGTTCTGCCCTTGGCCTGGTCCTGTTAATCATAGGAGACACACAACACAGTGCTCTGACTACTAGCTTGTGATCGTAATGATGAGCAGATCATACAGGCTCACAAAGTTTTAAATGTCTCAGGGCTTTCTTCTATCCTCCTACTTCTGTGATTAGTAGGCACAACTGTAGATTAGAACTGATCTAAAAATGATGGCAGAACCCAAATCTTTTCCCTGTACGACTGTGGGGGTGTGAAAAGGTGGGAGCAAGGAAAAAAGGACTGATCTGATTTCCAAACTCTGCTAGCAAGTAGGTTCCACCTACTGGAGTTGTCCAAGGGGAGCATGGAGAAGCCTGAAATATACTTTTGTAGGCTTTTAATCTTCCCTGAAAGGGGCTCAAATCTGTCCTCGGACTTGGCTAGGCTGAATCTTTTCCCAACTCGTAGGCAAGACAAGAAAAAAAAAAAGCAGAAGGTGCTCTCCCCCACACATTTATGTTGATTTTTGGCAATGTCACTCCCTTCCCACAGCGCGACACGCAATTCTGCCTGACGTGGGGAACACAGTGCTTAGCAGGGCGCAGTTGTCATGGTAGGTGTTGAAAGATTAGCTGTAATGAATCTCACGCCAGCTGACTACTCTGCCCATCTCTTTGAAAGTCTCACCCTCCCCCTGCAAAGGATCCTCTCCCCTGCAGGAAATATGTGCCAGCAGATTCAGTGAAGATTCTGGCAATGTAGGTTGCCAGAGGAGTTTTTCTAGGAGAATCTTGGGAAGAGGAGAACTATTGCTTCTAAATGAAAAGGTCATATTGAAATGTGTTTTATTAATCAATCTTGTGAAAGCTTTTTGCTCAGAAGTCCAGAAGTTAATATGGCAACAGTACTTTTGCAGTGGTACAAGCATTCATGTCATAACCTTAGGGGGCCTGTCATGTGGCTCTTGACCCATTTCAGATCTGGTGCTAACATCGCACACATCATCTGTGTCAGATACAGTAATGAAGAGCAGGGTAGCACTGGTGGCTGACAAAATAGACAAGGACAGAGTTACTAGAGATCTCCAGATGCCCCTGGAAGGACTTATCTGACAGGGCTATGAGAAGGAGAAATGCTGAATGAGCAGGAATATTCCCCATGTTCCCACTGGCCTGTCGGATGACATGACAATTAAAGTGAACTTCACACTGTCTCTCTCTGTATTGACTTTGCTGGAGAAGACTAGGGGCTGTGGCCGTGCAAACTCCTCTGTTAGTTTGCAAACACCTGATGCATAGGCGTTTGGCAGAAAGGACATCTTATTTGAACTAGACTCAGGGAGGACAAAAGGCTAGAGGAAGTCACTCAGGTAGGGTAGTGGCATGGCAGATAATCCCCAAAGGCAGGACTTCTTGAGCAAGCTGGCAGTCGCAGGGACAGTGGTGGCTACCTGTTAGAGGGAAAGTCTAAGAGGGAAAGAAGATGCTGGAATGGAGAAATACCCAAGTGCTAGGTCATGTTTTGCTACTTGGAGGATTATGTTCAAGGTGCGGAGAGGAAGTAAATTCTATTTGAGGATATTAGGTGTTGTCTACTTGAGTTTGCTCCAAACTAGGAGATGGGGAGGAGAGAGAAGTGTCACCTCCAAGTTGTTAATGACCTGAAGAAAGATGCCTGGTGGGAATTTTATGGTATGATACCAGCTAAGGGAATGGTACTTCATAGCTTTGCAAATAGAGTCTTTACAATAGAACTGTGGAGACATAAGTGGTCTGTGAGATCTTTTTTTAAGCTAAGGAGCAGACCTCCCCAAATGTACCTAACGTATACTTTTATTTTTTTTTTGGTCATTACAGAGATATCTTAGACCAGCATGCTTAACATAAACACATAAATCCAATTTCCAAACCCTCTATTTAAATACCCAAATAAAGACTAGTTTTTAAAAATTACTTTGGGTTGGAATTCAACTTTTCTGCAAATCAAGCCACTTGTAATGAACCTTTTTTTTTTTTTTTTTTAACAAGAAACGTTGAAGAAACACTTTGGAAAATCATTACCAGAAAGAATGACTATGAAGTTGCCTCATGCACCCAAATAGACTTTTGGAAGCAGAATGCAGTTTTCCTTCTCCATTGCTCTGTGGATCCAACATACCATGTTGCCATGTTGGAAACCAGATGAATAAATGAAAAATATTCTTACGCATTCACAGTGAGAATGTGCCTGAATTAACAGAGACAGAATACCCTCTTGCCTCTCCTGGCTACAGATAGAGAAAGATTATTATGTCTGTGGGGATTTCCTAAGTAGCTGCATCTTGGTACCCACAAAGGAAAAAAGGCAGTGCTTTCAGAAAGGATGGCCTCAAATTAATGACTAAAAAAATACTAAAGCAGATGGATTTTGTGCAATAACAGGAAGCAATAAGAAGCTGTTTGGAAGTATCTAGAGAACTAGAGACAGGGGGAAAAAAAAAGGCAAAATGGTCTTCTCCATCTCAGTAAAAAGTGATTTTCTGCTTTCACTGATCTGATCATGTTGGTGGATTATTTTTAGAGAAATGGGCGATTTAAGAATAAAAATATTGAGCTTAGATATATAGAAAACAGGCCACTGTAGAAAATACAGACTTATATTCTGCAGTAATTCTGTATGTCTCTCTGCTTTCAGCAGAATCAGTTTAAAATTCAAGCCTCACAGAGAATCTGCTCCTGAGCAATGAGTCCTCCTTGATAAAACCCAAGGGACTGTAAATGCACATTAGTAAATACTCATAAGATCAATTACTGGCAAAGGTCTTCTTGCCTTTACAAGCAGAGCTATTCCTTTAGCCATGTTCAGCAGATACATACCTACAAATCCACATACCTGCTCCAAAATGTAGCCCCAGAAGTGCTTGTCTCATCCTCTGTCTGTTTGTAATCCCATGTGAAGGCACTGCAGGGTAGGGGCCTGTGCTACTGGAAGCCTTGAAGTATGTTCATGACTGTAGTTGCCTGTGCCCAGATTTGTAAGTCGCAGTGAGGGGGGGATGTTCTGCCCTTCTCCCCCGATGGAGGAAAAAAAACAAATGACGTTTTGCCGCGCTGGCTGCTGCCACCCGTTTCTTCCCGGGGCGCTCTTCATCTGCGGCTCTTCTTCTCCGCGCTCCGGGCGCATCCACCAGCCCTGGAGGCTGCGCGGGGGCGGTGCCAGCACCGCGGACAGCGGCGCCCCGGGCGCTGCGCGGGCCTGCGCGGGGCCCGTCAGCACCGCGGACAG